TCTTTTTTCCATTGTATATCCTTGCCTCCTTTGTCGAAGATAAGGTGACCATAGGTTCGTGGATTTATCTCTGGGCTTTCTATTCTGTTCCATTGATCTATATTTCTGTCTTTGTGCCAGTACCATACTGTCTTGATGACTGTGGCTTTGTAGTATAGTCTGAAGTCAGGCAGATTGATTCCTCCAGTTCCATTCTTCTTTCTCAAGGTTACTTTGGCTATTTGAGGTTTCTTGTATTTCCATACAAATTGTGAGATTATTTGTTCTAGTTTTTCTTGAAAGAACTTGTTTTCTTTTGACCTTTTGGAAACATTACTAGCACATTGCTAAACATTCTTAATAGAAGTTAACTTCTGAAAATGACTGCCCTTCAAAACTTTCCAAGGCTTGAGAGTGACTGAATGATAGTTGCTCAGTGGTGTCCAGCTCTTTGTGACCCCATTGCCTGTAAGCCTGCCAGGCTCTCTGTCCATGCAATTCTCCAGGCAGGAATACTGGAGCAGTTTGCCGTTTCCTTCTCCAGGGTATTGTCCTGACACAGGAATCAAACACATATCTCTAGCACTGGAGGCAGATTCTTTACCATCTGAGCCACCAGGGGAGCCCGACAACCTGAAAGATGCAAGAGGGACCCACTTTCTAATTTCTACTGATAAACCAGAGCTCAGAAGCAGAAGCATCTGCATCAAAGTTACCTAGTAAGTCATAGGCCCAGATGTGGTTTCCATCTCTGCATCACTATAACGAAGTACTGTCCATTGTAAAGCCACGTTGCAGTACTTTGATTACACACACTTTCTTGCAGCCCTTCCTTATTCTTTGAGCTAGTTGTTGACTTCTTGTTTTTCATTTGAATTATTGTCTAGAGAGATTTTCTTAATACTTTTCAAATGTGAAATTCTACATGTGCCATGTCAGTTCCTCTATCAAATTCCTCTTTTCTCTCTCCATTAGGACTCCCTGTCCTTCTTCTCCTGTACAAGTATTCTCTTTCTAGGCCATATGCAAAGCTGTCATTCAAGGATTCCTATTATCCATGTTCATGATTTACGTCTGTATATTGTCTTTGATTCTAGACTCCACGTTAGGACTCTCTTGTTTTGTTTTTCACTGTGTCCCCAGTTCGCCCAGGTTCTGGGCACATAGTAAGTGTTCTCTAAACGTGTGTTGACGAATGAATGGATGACTGGATGGATGGATGGATGGATGGATGGATGGAGGGCGGACGGAAGAATGAGGTCTCAGGGTTGTGATGAGACTCTCATGAGCTATTGGTGTGGGCTGCTGGTCAACCATGGAGTTCTAAGTGATGATCGCCCTGGGTAGAGGCTCAGGTCACCTGACTTCAAGCTGTTACACCACCTTCCACCCTCTTCCCACTGCTCTTGCTTGGCTGCTCAGCCAACTTCATGAAGCTTTATCAATTTCCTCTCTTTTCCAGTCACATTGGTCTACTCAATGAGGTTGTGGACTTTGCGATCAACCTCGTGAATGAAGTGTTGTCCCTGGTAACACACTATGAGGTGAGTCCCCCACTGCTGGGTGTGCAGAGCCAAGCCTGGTGGAGGCAGGAGTGACTTTCTCCCAGTAGATTCTACTCTCTGGGCACCTTCCCTTCTGGGGGGTCAACTTCTCTTGGGCTGTGAGTTGCTACCTGCCCCTCTTAGCTCACTCTGGTCTGAGGAGAAGGTGAGCAGGGGCCCAGCTTGAGTTGAAATCACTGGGTCCCTCACTTGAACCACTTACCATACCCATGGACTTCCAGCAGGACTTTTAGATAATATTTTTCCTCATTCAACATGAATTTAATTCATTTAAATACAAAAAGCATACATACCGTAGATCAGGTTCATGTGTATCATATAAAAATACCATATGTACCATGTGCCCAAAATTCCAAGGATTCTATAATAGTCACTCTGGAAGGGGCTGGGAATCTGGCTTTATTTAAAAAAAAAAAATCCTCCATGTTGTTCTGTGATTTACTGAACTTGAGTCATGATCAAAGCGTGTTCCCCTCAGACCAGCAGCACGGACCTACCATGGACACTGTTTAGAAATGCAGACTCTCAGGTCCTACCCCAGACCTGCTGTTCAATAATTCACATTTTAACAGCCTCAGGGAATTGTAAGTACATAAAATTGTGAAAAATACAAAACCACTTCTCTATAGTTCCCAGGGCCCCATTTAATTCTATAAAGTTTCTGAGTCCAGAGGTCAAGGTTTCTAAGGGCATAAGATTATGGAATGTTAAAAGTCTAGATTCTTTAAGGTTCTAGGATTCTAATATTCTGAGGTTTTAGGATTCTAGTGACTTCTGGCTCTCAGATTTGGGTCTTCTAACTTGCCACGGTTCTAGAATCCTAAGGGTCAGATGTTGTAAAGCCCCAGTACTGAGCATCTCTGGGTGGGGGGAAGGGTGCTCACAGGAGATAATAATCAGTCCTCTTCCTTCTCTGTCTCTCCTCTCTCTCCTCACCTCCCGACCTCTTTCCTTCCTTCCCTCTCCCCATTCCTCTGTGTCTCTCTTTCCCTCCTTGTCACCCTCAGGTGTGCCCAGTAATCCGCAGCCTCCCTGAAAGCCTGGATGCTGATAATGTTAAGAACCGCATCTGTAAGTCACAGTCTGGGGAGACAGGGAGGGGGCTCCCTCTTCAGCCTCACAGGGGGCACACACTGCTCTATGCCTGCAGCGCTGGCAGGTCTGATCAGGGGACCCTGGAGAAGCTGAGGACCCTTCGTCCTGAGTACGTCTGCAGGCTATAGAAGAGTCCCCATGGACTGATGGCCTCTGTGGGCCCCTGAGAACTTCTGCTGCCCTCCTTTGTCAAACCGGTAGAACCTGCTGCCCAGAATGATGCGAGAAAGAGGACAGACCAGATCTGGGTTCAAATCCTGGATCTTCTACTTAACATCTATGGGGTGGGGGTCAACTGGCTCCACCTCTCTGAGACTCGGGTTCATCCTGGGTGAAAGGAGATTGTAAACATGGCTGAGGTGAGGAATGAATTTAAAGAAAAAGCAGAAAAAGCCTAATATCCAGTAGGCATTGATGATTAATACCATCCCTTCCCTGTCCCTTCTTATGAGGAGCTATGGGTTTACCTCCAGCCTCTAGGGGCTTTCCTCGACCTGCGTCTCTGGCACGACTGAGGTTGCTGGGACCGTGGGGCAAAGAAATGGGGTGAGTGACAGGTCAGGGTCCTGAATGCAGTCCTTCTAGAAAACAGCCACAGGCCCAGTTCTTGGGTGATCGTTCTGTGCTTCCTGTTCACCACTTCACTGGACCCCTGCAACAATCCTGTGGGGGTGGGCAGTGTCATCATGCCCATTCTTCAGGTCATCTAACTGAGGCTCAGAGACAAGGAGTGACATGTGAGTGGTCCCATGCCTGTCAGTCTGACCGTCTGGATGCTGGGAACCACTGGTATCTGATTTCTATTCAGCTCTCCAGAGCTGGAGGCTGAAAACTGCTACTGATTTCTTCTTTCAGGTGAACTTCAGGAAGCCCAACAGGAACCGTGAAGGGCACAGATGAGGAAAACTGCTGCGATGCCCGCCTGCTGGTGAGGACTGGGCTCGGGGCCATGGGATGAGGGAGGATGAGATTCCCCACAGGGGCCCGTGGAGAAGCGGAAACAAGCTTGGCTTCTCTTCTTTCTCTAGTGGAAGACTGAGCCCTGATCTTGGTCATGGACTGAGTCCTGACCCTTAATCACACACCCAGACGGCACTTGATTCTGCTCCCTGACTGAGCCTGGAACAGTCAGGCTGAGCTTTGACTCCAGTCGTTGACTGAGCCTTGACGCTGGTCACATTTAGAACCTGACCTGCATCTCAGTCTGATCCCTGATCCTGATCATACACTGAGCCCTGAACCCTGGCTCCTCTGGGCCCTGATCAGTCTTTTCACATTGGCCATTGTTGCTAAGGTGAGGGGGTGGGAGAGTGAGGGATGAGAAGGGGTCAGTGCCAGGTGCCAGAGAAAGACCCCAAACCACAGGTGCCAGTCCATCCCCAAGCCTGAGAGCCGCAGGGTTCGGGGTGAAGCACTCCTGCAGCCGTGCCTAGTGAACGCAGGAGCCGGTAAGGGCCCTGGCGGCTCTGTGACTCACACCAGGTCTCCTTCCAGGTTGAACCTTGACTGAATATCTGAACCGTCTCCCTCTGGCACAGTTGGCACTGCCAGCATCCATCAGGAAGGACAACTGAGCCCAGTCAAGGGCACTCTCAGAGAGCCCTCCCCGCAGTCAGGACACCCTGCACGCAGCACCCTCCAGCCCCAGCAATGAAAGGCCATATCTGCACCTCCTGCGTGGCCCATGGCATTCCTTCCTTTAGGATTTCAGGGATGGCGAGGGACGGGCAATCAGGGCAGTGGAGAACTGGATCTCCACTGGAAAGGTGGAAGGGACTTTCGGGATTATCCAGCTGCCACTTATTGTCTTATGAATGGGAACAGTGAGGCCCACGATGGGCAAGAAAGTGACCTGAGTCACACAGCGACAGCCGCACTCTGCTTCTGCTAACACCACCACCATGATGGAGGGCTGTCTTCACCAGCACACCTGACCTCATGACTTCATGACAGCACCCTTCTGCCAGGAGACACCACTCTTGTCCCCACCGGACAGATTATGAAACTGAGGCTCAGAGAGGACAAGTGACTCCTCAACATCACAGGATAGCAACTGGCAGGACCAGGATTTAAACCCATGGCTATGGGATTCCCTTGCTCAGAGAGGTGACATCCTGGCTCCCATACTCAGCCACCTCTCCCCAGCCCCTGTAGGTCCCGCTGTCCTGGCCTTGGTGTCTTCTTCCCAGGGCTGATGGGGTTCCTCTTGTGGCCCCTCTGTCTTCTCAACACGCAACCCCTCAGTTTCCCCTTTGCCTTGGGATGAGGAGCAGAGACCCCTTACTCACAGCTGCATCACCTCTGCAGAGGACTGACCCAGGCTATCACCTCAGGGTCCCCGGGCCTCTCTTTTCCACGAGGGCATCTGACTTTCCTGCCAACAGGCCCAGGGAAGCTTTGCCCGTTTGCTGAGGAGCCGTCTCAGTGCTGTGTGCAATTCTGTGAGGGAAGAACCACTGTTGTCCTCATGGGAGACTCGGGTTAGGCGAGACCAGGGCCACACAGAGGCCTGCACCAGCGGCTGCTTCACTCCAGGGTCTTCTGTCTGATGAAGGTTGCCTCACAGAACCAAGTCATCCAGGAGGCCTTTGAGCCCCTGGGGCAGCTGGGGGCCTTGGACCAGCTCTTCTGAGCTCTCCCAAAGGACCTCAGTTTGTGCTGAAAAAATGTTAATTATTTACACGTATTCCCCATCCCGATCCCCCCTCCCACATCCCTCTCCACCCGATCCCTCTGGGTCTTCCCAGTGCACCAGGCCTGAGCACTTGTCTCATGCATCCAACCTGGGCTGGTGATCCCTTTCACCATAGATAATACACATGTTTCGATGCTGTTCTCTCGAAACATCTCACCCTCGCCTTCTCCCACATAGTCCAAAAGTCTGTTCTGTACATCTGTGTCTCTTTTTCTGTTTTGCATATAGGGTTATCGTTACCATCTTTCTAAATTCCANTCTGTTCTGTACATCTGTGTCTCTTTTTCTGTTTTGCATATAGGGTTATCGTTACCATCTTTCTAAATTCCATATATATGTGTTAGTATACTGTAATGTAACTTATCTTTTTGGCTTACCAAAGGACCTCAGTTCAGGCTATGCTGGGGCTCCTGACACACGTATGATGAGAGGTTGGTCAGAGTTGAGTTTGACTACCCTCTGCCCTTCAATAGCCTTGTGACACCTGGCAACTTACTACTAGAGCCGCACTTTTCTCACCTGCCCAGGAGAGTTAACAGCAAAACCTCCCATTGCAATGTTGTAACAATTAGAGACAATGAGTGGAAAATGCTTAACCCGAGTCTGACACTAGTGTGTACAAGATGAATGTCAGCCTCGACACGCTGGAATTACTGTCAAACGATGTTAAGAAAACCCATATTCAATCTTTATACATTATATCTCACTCAATTCTTATTCATACTGAGTGATGCAGTGAAGGATCTTGGTGTGGGTGTGGCAACTGAGTCTCAGAGAGGGAAAGTGGGTTCTCCAGGGCCACACAGCTGGTCAGAGGCAAAGCTGGATTCCATTTGAAATTGGCCTCCTCCAGAACTGGTTCATCACCTGCTGGGTGAGTTTCCTTCTCCGTCTGTATTTTGTGACAACCCCAACTCCCACAGAGGTCCACAGGAGGTCTCGCGATTCAGGAATTCTCTTAAGCAGAAGCCCACTTTGGTCATTGTTGAGCCTTTGTCCAGGCTGCTCCATCCCCCTGGAACATCATTCCTTCTCTCCCTCCAGCTTTTCAATCCCCTTAGCCCACCACACTGCTCAGCAGCCATCTCCTGCTAAGTGGGAGCCCCTGATCAATGTTTTCCCAAAAAAGAGATCATGCTTTCCACCTGGTAGGTCTTCCCAAGCTACCTTGTCATTATTGTCCCGTACAGACAGAGGGCTCAGGAAATGTCAGCTCTCATGATTACGGTTCACACTTTTTTAAATACTCTTTCTTTCCATTTCTTAGTGGGAAATAATTGATATTCATTACTGTATAAATTAAAGGCAAGTTTTATTTCTGTGTATTATGACAATGGGTTAAGCTAGCATTCATCTTCTCATATAGATACAATAAAAAGTAATGAAAAAGAATGACACTTTTTCCTTGTGATGAGAACTCTTAAGATTTGCTCTCTTAACAATGTTCCTGTATGTCACACATCACTGTTAGCTATAGTCAACATGCTATACATTACATCATTAGTACTCGTTTGTTTGGAACCCATTTTATGAGGAAGAAGAGCAATAAATGCCTACATTAAGAAGTAAGAAAACCCAAATGACCTAACTCTATACCTTAAGGGACTAGAAAAAGAAGAATAAACTAAGCCCTAAGTTACCACTGAAAGAATACAATAATGATTACAGGATGAGTAAATGAAATAAAGAAGGCAGAAATAGTAGAAAATATTAACCAAAATATTAATCAAATTACTATTGGTCCTTTGAAAATGTAAAAGAAATGGAAAAGTCCTGGGCTAGATCTCACAAATTACAAGCGGGCTTTAGGTCTTCGCATGTTTCCTGGGTCTGCTTTGTCCTCAAAGATAAAATTTAGACACAATTAAATGGAAAAGTTCACTAGAAAATGAAGCTATAAAAGGGGGTGAGACAGTGTATCATTTTAATGCCTGAAGTCCTCCCTGCCACAAACATTCCAGCTCAAATACTCTACTTGCTTCCTATTTCTTTATTTTTGTTGAAGCCAGTTTGACTCGGATCCTGCCATTCAAATTCACAGGAAATCCTGACAAGATATTTGTAGAATCATGTCTTCCTCCTCCATTCTGACATCTACTCGAGGGTCACTCAACCACATTGGAAACATAACAGACCTCAAAGGCACAGGAGAGCTTAGAGGTCATCATTTTCACCTCTTTGCTTGAAATTCTAGGGAGACAGTGGCCCAGAGAAGGAGAAGGACTCATCTAAGGCCACATGTGACTTGAACGCCACTTACTTTCCCCTTTCTCTTCACATA